ATATACATTTTTTAATCATTATAATGTGAATGGAAAAATTCAATTAATTCTTTCTGGTTTGTATTATATATTAAGTATTCTAACATAACATTTCGTAAGGTCTTTTATGTGCATTCATAATACATTAAAAAAAAGTAACATACATTTTAATTTAATATCGTAAAAACCATCTTTTGTAATTTGTTTTATGAAATCTAATTAAGTTTATTTAACAAACCGTTTGTTACGTTGTCATAAATAAATGCTATTCTACAATGTTTTGAAGTGAAATCTTTTTATTTAAAAAAGGAGTTTAAATAAAAAATATAGTCAATGTTCATGAAATACATTTTTCCGAGTGCTTCTTTATATTATGTAAAATAGTTATTTAAAGTCCTTTATTAGTAAGTTATTCTTTATCTATAAAAAAAACTTAAGAGAAAAAGTGCTTTCGGAAAATCCTAGACTTTCATCACCAAAATGAATCCCTGAAGTGTGAAGTACAGTAGTCCAAAGAATTCGGAGATATCTTGGTTATAATTTTTGGAAAATTGTTAGAGTTTGCACTTGAATAGAAAATTATTTTTTCAACTTGTATAAAGTTATATCTGTTGGTCTGTATAACAGTTATTCTGGTGCAGCTGTCACGTCAAAAAGTCCTATTTGTTCTCATCTATGACGCTGTTTTGCCTCTGAACTGCTCCGTTGGGTGCAGAAATCAGCTTTCTTAATCTAGGGTGCGTCTTCCCTCGCCGCATATGGATTGGCATTTCGACCGGTGTGCACGCGTATGGCTTCTAATATCTTTAATATAAAGACCGTGTTTCCATTAAAGATGCACCCGGTTAATTCCACCATAATCAAGCAGCGATGTAATTCTTTCCAGTCACAAACGAGCTGATCGAAGATTTCGTTATTAGGTTATGCACCTTTCCAATAAATTTTCGTTATTACGTTCTTCGTAAATATATAAATTTAATTGAGTTCAACACATCTTTGGGAAAGTATTTAGAATTACACTGTAAACAAGCAAATACGCTGTTTTTCGAATCGCACTGTCAGTAACCATGAATTAACCATTTGCGGTGTATGTCTGCTCTTATATCTTTCTTTCGATCGTGTAAAACCTGATATGCATGCAAAATAAAAATCTACTATTGTGTTAAATTGAAGTGAAGTTGAAAAAAAACTAATAAATTTTATATACTATTAAATTCTTTCTGATAAGTAATCTAATCTGAACTAAAATTAATTCTGACCAGTACGATACCTGCCTATAAAATACGATTCGAAGGGTTAACTTTGGATAAATATTTATGGATATCATACTTCCTTATGGATGTTCGTTTGTTAACCGTAGTGATAATATATCACGCGCTGCTTATCTTCTTACATAAAGTTATATCTCTTGGTCTGTATAATAGTTGTTCTGGTGCAGCTATAATGTCTTTGATAACGTTTTCATATAGCCAAACCATGTACAAATAGCTTCTTCGTTGATCAAGTTACACTGTCCTTGACATTTTCTATTTTATTCGCTCATATACAAATTCCTATACTTCTATTGGCATGCCTTTATTTTAGTAATAAGGAATCCTGCAACAAGGTTAAAACTAAAGAAATTTGACATCTGTGTCATTGAATTGGTGAAGTAACTCACTGCTAATAGCAAACCGGTCGGGTGTTATCATTCTGGGCTTAGCATTAAACCTCAAATTACCGTAACGTGAAAAGCAAAACATAAAACCAGAACGTGATCTCATTTCTAAAGCTTGTAGAAGAAGGATCGTGAGAACCTACTACTGAACTGGTATTTAAACCTGAATTCTTCGCTTGTCGTGCGACTATATTAACTAATTATAATAATCAAGGCTTGGAGTCCGAGAAATAATTAAGATAACTGTATTTTACACCAATTTCAATTAATTATGTATTTTACAACCTTAAATCGAAGAGAAAAATTAAATCATATTGAATGATACAAAAAATTTTGTACCCAGGCAAACAACATGTAAATAAGCGCGTGCAATGAAATGAAAGTTGAATTAGTGCTGCAATCGGTTCCGTATTATAAGACCGACTCAGACTTCCTCGACGATGTTTGCATGGACGCTATTTCACCGGCATATGTTTTCACCGAGAATCCGTATTCACTGACATTCTATTCTTATTAACATATGCTTCCTTAAACATACGTTTCTTACAGACACATTGATCACACATTATATTCCTCGACAAATTATCTTTTACGGTACATCATTCAAATGTATGATATATTTTACTATCATATATGTCCAATTGTGTATAATTTCTTAATATAAGTGAATATAAATCAAGTTTCATATACTTATAATAATTCAATATTCATATAGGTGCATACATTCACAGACATGTGTAGTTTCCTTATATTATGAACGTATATATTATTATTAGGGGATAAGCCATTTCACAATACATGATTCAAAATAATTTGGCAAAGAATGTAATGGGTATTCACTCTATGAATAAGAAAAGTATGTCTATGGAAACGTATGTCGGTGATTACAGATAATAGGTGAAAGTACGCCAATGAAATTGCGTTGATATAAACATTTTCAAGGCAATGTTGGTTTTATAATATGAACTCAAGATTAATATTTAAATTCAAACATTCTGAACAAACTGATATTTTTATGTTTTACGTAATCAGAACAAATGTAAATTATTCTAAAGTATTTGCTAATTACAATGTCTGTTATTAATATGCAACAGAATACAAATGCAAGTAGTAGCATTACATTTATGTAAAATGTATGTTATAAATCTTAAATATGTGTTATATATTATATTATACATTTTGTTATAAATTAATAAAGAAAAAGGGGGTGTTTATTAATAAGAAATATATAACACGTACTTCAAGTACTAACAAATACTTTATGTACTTTCTATTTTTTTATAAGATGGTAAAGTATTTTAAATCATTGTTAACTTGCTATGTATTTAAAATAATTTTAATATTAGTATATGTTTATTTAAACGTCAGAATTTCTAAATTAAGTGAACACTTTCCAAGTGGGTTCCGTGGTGTAGCGGTTATCACGTCTGCTTTACACGCAGAAGGTCGCCAGTTCGATCCCGGCCGGAACCATATTTTTTTCACTTAACTGTGATATATTTTACTTACATCCCAGAGACTAATGAAATTTAAAATTCACCTATTTCCTGATTTACGTGGTACTGTATTTACACGATTTCACTTTTACATGGTTTTCAAAATAACAGGTTTTTAAAAAGTATTAAAAATAAACATTTTTGCTACGTCCATATTTCTATAGTAAATTTTTTATTCCATTCGATTGGTGACACTGGCATTAAATCTGAATAAAGGAATTCTCCTTTTTGTATACATACAAGAACTATTCACGTGAATTAGCACAGTAAAGCTCAATAAATCTTTAGCAGCAAAAAGGTGTGCATCATAGTACTCTTATAATCAGAATTTTTTAAAACGTCATATTTACTAGTTAGTGATAAACGATTACAGTTTTTTGTAGCATTTGTATAATTTACTAGTATTTTAATTGTATTCGATCGCGTCATATAAATAATTCATTAAATATAGTAATGTTCCATTAATACATGTTACATAGTTATATGTTCCTTTAGCAAATAAGAAACAATAAATGTATACTGGATTCCTACTTTAATCTGATTCATCATATAATCCGATTCGCCTCGGACTACCTATCTATTATACTATGTTACACGCTTCCTAAATACTGTACAATTCTTGTTTGAATCATATTTTCAAATAATAAACAATTTTCAATTCTTTCAAGGTGGACTAGTTAAGTGACACCCTGAATAATTCTATAATACATTATAAGCTCTTTCTTTACACTTTGAAGAAAGATAAAACTAAATATCCCGTTAGTTAAACTTCAACAAGTATTCAATTTCTTTTATTCATTCAGATCTTTCAAGATCACCTTCAAAAATCTACGTGAAAAATAACAAATTATGTCCCATAAATAAAATTCGCTTCATTTATATATCTAAGTTTCTGTTACTGCGTTCGTCACAACCAGCGACAGAACAAAGGTTCAGGATCGGTTTGTAGTAAAAAGCATTCCACCAGTTAATCGCTTGAGTCACGATTATTTTCATCATATGTAAATACGTACAGTTTGGAAATAGACAAATTGACGCGAAGCTATTGTTTTCTGTTTCAGATGTCAGCGTAGCGAGTGAATGAACGTAGGTTGCAATGTTGCTGTCGTCGCTATGAACGAGAGTCGTTGCTACGCCGATTCGCCTGCGTTCGCTGTACATCAGTCATTCAACCGGAATGGGAAGGCACTTAGGTGTGATTATCAGCGTAACCCAGGCTACTGTACGATATTATAAGTTTGCGGTTAATTCAGTGCTGTCCGGCATAAATTCTAAACCTTACGATGCTTCCCCCGTTTTATTTCTCTTGGTATGGTTGAGGAATGCGGGCTAATACATTACATGTGCCCGGTTTATACAAACACAATATGGCACGTTAGAGAAGGAGCAAAAGCTGCGTAAGGGGATCCTTGTGGGGACAGCACTGGTTTAATTGCTCAAAACCAGGAGGGCGTGGAGAGAAGTCCGCACACTCTGCTCTGATTTATCGCTCGTAATTGAAGAGAAGAAATCTAAAAGACTACCAATCACGGGCATTACTACCAATTAATTTCTTGTTCCTCGTTTGTCGACTTCTTTCTTCACTCTGTACATTCTTAATAGAGGCTCTTTTTACCTCACTTTATCTGGCGAACCTTTTTTAGAGTGATTACACTCCGCGCGAATGTAAATACTGTGCTGATGTTCACGTGCTCACTACTCCTTCGAGCTAGTTTGTGAAACGTATTTTTATTGCGAATGCTTGGATGCGGTTTAACGCTATTTAAACGGATATCTCTCGGATAGATGTATTACATGGTATCGCGTGTTTCGATAACTGAATATTTAGCAACTGAATTATTATGATACATTGAACGCGTGAAAATTTTTCCTTCAAAACATTATATTTTCGAAAAAATTGAATATGAATAATAATAAAAAATATATTCTAAGATGGATAAATAAACTTTTTCGATATTTTCTATATGTCTAATACTGTTAAAAGTAATAATATTCCTTTTGCAAATAAAAATTACAGGAGTGATTTAAATAAAATAAATAAATAAATTTTGTAAATACATGTTAGAATATATTTTTTATTATTATTCATATTCAATTTTTTTCAAGTTGAACAGACTTCCGAATTTACGAGTAAGTAGATTGTTAGTACACAATAGAACAGATTGCGATTCCCCAACACACAATCGCAATGCAAACTACTGTCAGACGAAGAAATGCAGCTATCCGAATTTCTCTTTCACAAAAACATATTAAAGAGGGCTAATTTCAGGGGATCGAAGAAAAGTGTGCTATTCTATACGACTGACTGTGGCGACGAGAAGGAAGATTTGGGATTCAAGCTTCAGCAACGATCAGTGTCTTTGGTAAGTCGTATGCGTAAATACATAAATATTGAATAACTAAAATTCTACTTGTATTTATTATAAAGGCTTCTGGTTATGAATTCGCAGATATGCAAACTATTTATGTTTTCAGATATCATGATATTTAATATTCTGTAAGTTATCGTATGAGATAACTTTTTACTTGAACATATAAATTATAAATATAATTGATTAATTACTTACGAACAATCATAGCAGTCACATATAAATTTATATGTGTTTGTATTGATGTGACAACATAAGTTCAGTGCTTTTACATACACTCAACTACACGTTATAATTAACAAACGAAATAAATTATCTTTACAACATTTATACTCGAGAGGTTACTTTCACAATCGTCACTTGGTTTGTTGCAGAAAAATTATAAAGCTTAATATTCAATACTAAATTTTGTATAATATAATACATGAAATATTGAAATCAAACAATTTCTGTCTCTTGAATTCTGTGATCTTTTTATGTTGGTTATACAAATTAGAGAACAATGAATATAGATAAATATGTTATATAAATATATGTAACAAAAGAATTTCCGAGTACAAAGTGTTAAACATGTCTATAACATAAAATTAAAAACAATATAATGATTACTAAGCTGCAAATGTTTTCGTAAATTAAAATTTTTTTAAATATATTTCGAAAAAAAGAACTACGATAGAAAATGTTTTTTCCTAATAAATATTATAAAAGGTACTACAATTTGGATATTTTATGAGTATATCTTTTGATGATGTCTAATTACATTAACAATCACGTTGTCCTAAATTCAAGAACAATAAAAGTTATATAGGTATGATAAATAGTTAATAAATATTCTTATATAAATCTGGCAAAGCATTCTAACTGTAGAGGAAAAATACACTTATTTAATAAATACAATATATTCTATGACAATAAATTAGTATATTCATGTTACTCTTCACATAACATCTTTTTACGCTATACTTATGAAATATAATGTACGGACGATAATTTTCAGTGTGCATAAATAGATGAATGAGTGTGTGTATGTATCGGGTCTGAAATATTTGGAGTATTCTACACAGAAACGTGCGGCATGTTTGTTAAAATCAATATTTTAGAGAAATCAATAAGTTTAGAATGTCCCAAACACAATGGAAGTATATAATCTTCAGTGTTTTTATGTTTATTACGACATTAACATTTTTTAGAAGAAACATCTTGGTTAATAATTGACAGAATATGATACAAGAAAACACGTAGTGAAGTTACGAGATGTTCCGCTAACCGACACCATTCGAAACGCGTCGATGAAAAATGGATCGCATTTCTTTGTCGCATTACCGCATGAAATGAGTAATATAGTATATCGTTGAACTTACCTCAAGGTCCTCTATTAAGCAGTAAACAAAGAAAGATAGAGTACCATTTAAGGAAATTAACTTGATCTTGAAATTTCTTTCAGTTCTATACGTACATAAAAATCTCTATATAATACGTCCTTTCATACTAAACGACTTTTATATAGACATTTTTAATAACTATTTATTTAACAACAGTTAAGTAGACAGTATAACAATTTTTAGGAAATAAAATTACGACTTCGCAATTACACGACTCAACACACACTGTATTCAGAATCAATTCACACTCTTTAACACATTCAAACTCGTTCATCTCACATGTGCAACCATTGTTTTCACAAATTACATGAATTACACACTTCAGATACGTTTGAAGCATTCTAAAATTATTGATTTTCCCAAACTATTGATTTTATATAACATGTCATATGTTTCTATTTAGAATCTTCCAAACGTGTCATACACGGTATACATACACACTCATTCATATCGCATGCACACCGAAAACCGCTGCCCTCACATTACTTCAATATCTCGTAAAATATTCAACCTTACATATTTGAACGTAATATCTTGTATATTGGCGTATTATTTATTTTCGCTACTAAGCTCGTGTAATATTTTATTATCAACAGTTTGGAAGATACGCAAAAAAATGTTCCAATTTCACTACAAGTAAAAATTTACTTCGAAGATAATAAATTGATAATAATATAGTTTTTTGCTTTGATCCATGGAAAATGAACAACGTTGATTTGTATTAAATTAATCTAGAAATCTTCATCACGAATCTCACTCGTCATCGCATGGAAAAGGGTTAATAAATCAATTTATTTAATAATTTATTAGGAAATTAGTTTTATCTTTCTAATAGTATAAAAGAAAAATCGTAAATGGCTCAATTTGTCCCATCTGATAGTTCTAATGTTAAAAAACAGTGAATAATCGAATCTTTGTAACAATCATGCCCAAGCAAAGTCTTCGCAAGCAAGAGTCCTTTTCGTGGCTGTGAGTCAGGTATGTAACGTCCGGACGAAAAGCCGAAGCCATAAAAGCAGGGCCTTCCATCTAAATGTAAAATACCAGTATTGTACCAGTATTTTCGGTTATATCTTCGTATCCTTTATATAAACCGAAGTATTACAATACCGATATTATTTCGGTTTTCTTAGTTTACCTGTAGTGAGAACTTTCCTATTGATTCCTTTTGAAGAAAACTTTCTTATTGGTGAAGAATACGTTTGTAGAGTAACTGTGTTCCTGATGAGACGGTCTCGCAGGCAACCACGAATAGGAGTGGTAATAATATCGCGAAAAACGACCGTATATATTTGCGTCTCAACGTTTGTTTTGTTGCTCAACTATATAATACATGTAGCGACAAATTTCTATTTGTATGTTTCGTTATCATCGCCGCTTTCATAGCTTATCGCAGCTCTAACGTAAATGTATCCTTAGTCTTAATCGCAATATATTTTATAGAAAAACCGCAAAATGGAGATATTTATTTTAGGTTTCGGTATTATATTGGTTTTTGTGTAGCCTTCTTGACCTTATACCGGTATTAACGCGTTAAATACAATACCAACCCTCAGGGACCGGCAATAAAAAATTTCAGACACAATAGTGTAGGATTGAAATAATATTTTAATTTCGAATTATTTTGTATAAAATATGGCTATATATATAATAATACATAATGATACTCATTTGTAGAGTATATAACAAATAAATAAATAAATATTAAATATTGTTAATTATATATACACATAAAAAATTGTATATTTATATAAAATATGTTATATTATATACCATGTAATGAATAGTAATACAATAGGTACTAACACATAATGACAATCAATTACATATTACATGATAGCCTAATAAATATTAATTATATCGTCAGTACGGCCGCGACTTAGTGCTCAAACGTTTCTTGGAAAAATTTCTTTTTGTAGAATAAACACAAACATTTGTTAAATATGATGATGTTTAAAAATATTCCGGAATTTATCGGAATTCGGAAACCGCAATTTAGGCAAAATTTTTTTAATTGACTTTTAGCTGGCTAAAACGACAAAATTGCCCACAGTATATCGGTCATATGTTTAAAAGCGCATAGGAGCAAGGGGATCCTTCCACTCACGATTCTCGTGCCTCGGCGCGCGCCATTAGTGACCACGTGTCGAAAGTCGAGCGTCGTGAGTGGAAAAATCCCCTTGCTCCTGTGCACTTTTAAACTTATGGCCGAACTAACGCGAGAGGCGAACTGTACTTTCTTGATATAATTTTTAGTTATTTCCATCCAATTTTCTCTGCATGTACATGACACGGAAACAGAAAGTTCGTTAAAATCAAGGTCACAATGACCGTGTTAATTTTATTTCGGTTTTAACTTCTAGGCCTAATACTAGTAGAATCATACTGGCATTAAGTACGTCCATAAAAGAGTAAGAATCGTGGTGATATGTGAGTGTGACTTGTATAAAATTCTGGGCGAATAGCCGTGCCCACAACGGTGTTTGCGACTGCTTCACTCACGGATTATCTCACCACGAGATTTTCACTGTTCCCTGAGTTTGGCCTCGCTCGGTTACTCTTGACTCCAAACTCGCCGAAACTGGCACGTATGACAGCAAATTCACCATTAACCTCTTACGTCATAACATGGGACCAAGTACATAATGAAGACTTTCTCGGCTCTGATTAGTTGGAGAGAAGTATTATTTTGAGCTCACGAGAGAGTTTAACTTTTTTATGAAAAACTTGAATCTATATTGAATGTAATTTTTATATGTATTTGTAATGTATAATTTTATGTATTTATAACTGTTTACGACATGAACTAAGAATGAATGTATAACTTCCTTCCTGGATAAGATATTAATAACAATAACACAATTTTAGTCAGTCACGGAATAAACAGTATGGCGTATGTTTAGGGCCCTTTTATAGTTTAGAAAATCAGAAATTACACCTACTTTTTAAATATTTTTCAATTTCTCCATTACAGAGAATATGTGCCTATGCAGCAATTTTATATCATACAAAAACTTGTAACTGGTTAGAATTTTTAAGAAATCGACAAGTTAAAATACTAACATAGTAATTGTTTGTTCGATATAAACCCATCCACTCTATCTTTTCTTTTGTTTTAAAATTTACACTTGTATTCGTAAGCAAACTAAATTTCATGTTGAGAATATTCAAATTTGAATACAAGTTGAATACAAATTTGAAAAAATTTAACAGTAAATGTACTTCTTTCAAACTTCAAAAAGAATTTCATCAACCACTATTCAAGGATATTTGGCATGTTCAAGAGTACGAGGTGAATACCAGTGTTATTGGTACGTTAATAAACAATAAGGGGTAATGAAATTATCTACAATAAACACTGAAGTGTAACAATTAATTTATAAGTACATTAAACTTATGAGTAAAATGCGAATAGTAATTCCAAGTATTCCAATATTTCATTCAGTTCGAGTGTGCTAAAATATTCTTCAATACAGTGTATCTTCAATATAATTAAAGACCATCGCCTCGTTACAAATTGCTTAGTCTTTGTGTTGCAAACAACTGTAGCACGGTATTAATTAGGTTTTAGAAGTTGACTAATTACCACGCATTTTGCTTAACACGTGTCCC